AGTAGCTCAGAGATTCTCTTGGTAAATTGGAAGGAACTAATGGCCATGCTATAAACTACACGTGGAACATATGCATAGGACCTCAGCTGTAAGGAAATAACTCTGACAACAACCTAAAGAGCTTGGAAGAGGATTCGAGCCTCAGATGAGACTGTAGCTCCAGCTAATGCATTTATTTTAGCCTGGTGTAAACCTGAAGAAAGGATCCAGCCAACTAATTTGTGGACTCCTGATCCATAGAAACCATGGGATAATGAATACAGAATACTTTGCAGTGACTAAATTTGTGATAGTTTAAAAGCAGTACAAAACAAATACAACAATGTCTCAAAAAGTAACAACTGATTTTCTCAGAAATTTGATAATTGCAACATTTTATCTTTAGAGTATGCAAGTCAAATTATAAATGTCTGTAGTGCTAAACAAAGTAGCATTAAAAAGACAGCAGAATATAGAAGGCAATAGGGAATTGTAGGATGTGTAGCAAATTAATGGTTAGTTTTACTCAAATCCAGCAGTTTGTGATGATTTGAATATGACTAAATAACTGTATTTGTTTAAAGTAAGTAAACATCTAGTAGTTGTTTTTAACATGAAATCAGTTAGCAACAACACACAACCTACCCTAACGTACAAAAAAATTGTGTTGGCCAAACAATGTGTATGACACTCTTTTCTGCTCTGTGCTGTAAATTTTAAGAATAAATATGTTAGCTTTTGTTTTTCCTTTTGGTATTTTTATTTTCAGCTTCACATGTAAGCGTTTCCATTTTCTTCCTCATTTATTTATTTTTCTAAATTGTTATTCTTTCATTCATTCATTCATTTACAAAGGACATGTTCATTGAGCACACTCTATGGGACTGACACTATTTAAGACATACTCAGCAATAATACAAAGATATTCCAGCCCACCTGAGGTTACTTCCTAGAAGCTGGATACATAAAACATAATTAAAATTTACATATTGTATATCAACCACTGTATATCATCATTGGTAAATGTTGATAAAATGTGAAGAATAAAACTGTGACAAAATTATGGAGAGAATGCAAATTTGGAGATAGAAGATGGATGAAGGAAAACTGTTTAATGTCAATATTCTTTGTTGCAGGCAATATCCTATATACTCGAGTAACAACGGTTATTCTGCTTACTCTCAAAGAGCTTACGAGTTGGAAAAATTGACATATAAGGTAAACAGATTATATTCTAATAAATACTGTGATGATTTGTAGCATACAAAGAAGCATAGAGTTTTAGGCAAAACGTATAGGAATGCCAGAAATAGATTGTGAAATTTCCTAGAATGTGTGTAACCTATATTTGATTAACAACTTTCAAATGTTTTGCTAGGCATTTTAAATAATTAATTTCTGAGCACTGTTTTGTACTTCCAAGATTCTACTATTTGAAGATCCCATGTGGTCCTGTGGGAAAATCTTATAAAATTTTGAATGAGAGCTCAAACCTAAAAAAAGTTATGAGATCCCTCTGATGTCCACAAATACTTGGAAAATCACTTTTTCCCATAGAGTTTTGTGTAAAGTCATGCCTATAAAGACTTTTGGTGTGTTTAAAACATGAAGACAGGCCAGGCATGGTGGCTCATGCCTGTAATCACATCACTTTGGGAGGCCGAGGTGGGTGGATTGCTTGAAGTTGGGAGGTAGAGATCAGCCTGACCAATATGGTGAAATACCGCCTCCACAAAAATTAGCCAGGTGTGGTGGCACAGGCCTGTAATCCCAGCTACTCAGGAGGCTGAGGCAGGAGAATCACTTAAACCTGGGAGGTGGAGGTTGCAGTGAGCTGAGATCATGCCACTGCACATAAACCTGGGCAACAGAAAGAGACTCTATCTCAAATAAATAAATAAATTTAATTTAATTAAAAAAATGGAGACAATTCAGTCCTGAAATTTGCCACTTTTCCAAGACAAAAGGCCTAACAGTCTTAATTTTTAGATTAACTAGGAGACAAGAATAACTTGAGATACTCCAAATAAATTATACCATAGTGTTGGAGTGCCACACAAAGTTAGCAGTACATAAACTGTGGTAGGTAATAATTGTGGATAAAACACCACTAGTCTAGTCTTGGTGGAGTCCATAGTCACTCTTGAAAAAGAAGATCTCAACCAGAAAGGAAAAGTTGTACCTAGGATGGAGACTAAACAGGCTCAATTGCTAGTGAAATTCAATAGAGAAGGCAAGACATTTTCCCAGTGACCCAAACATCTCAAATTTCAGGAGGTTCTCGCAAAATAAAATTCCCCCCAAAATTCTTGGTCTTCTGGTACACTGGTCCGTGAAGCATTCTGAGAAGAATTCAGGGAAGCCAAGGCTGCATAAGCACTCCTGCTCCAAGTTAGTTTCCAAGTGTCACAGGACCTGTGGTTATACAAAAGATTCATGCTATATATAAGCATTCTCTATTGTACAGCAGCAGAAGAGAGCATTGCGTAGCAATGTTGGAAATCTATCTTTCCTATCTCCATTCTTTCCAGAGGAACCAATTGTAATAATTAAGAAAAATTCAACTCATTCAAATAGGAGCAGGAGAAACAGAGCATACCTTCAATTAAGACGGAACTGTATGAATAATTATTTGGTGAGGAAAAAATATAGAGTAAATTCATTTCTTCCCTGATATACTGCTTTCAAACTTTGAAGAATTTTCTTTCCAAAATGCTTCTTGCAAGAAACCAGAAGAGATATTTTCAACCATAGTGTTTACCAGTAAATGAATTTGCAAGTTATGTGACTGCAAATCACAAAATTTTGTTCTTTAGGAGATTCTATAGAAAATTGTGACAATGTTAAAAGTTCTCACGTGTTTCTTTACCAATTTAACACCCATGTTTACACTTTCTGAAACACTTTATCTTCTAAAAATATCTGAAAAGTTCCCTGATTACAAAAGGAAAGAGAAAATTACTGGCCTATTGAAAGACTAAACAGAGGCTGAATTAAATTGCTTTTCTAGGGGGAATGCAAAATAATTACATAGCAAGGGGTTAAGATCTGGAACATATTTAGCAGGATGTAGTAGTAAAATATTGCCCTCTAAAACCCACAATATTGAGGGATTAAGATAAATGTAAGCTACTCATTATCTGTAATTGGTCACTTTTTAGAAAATAAATGAATGCTTTTTAAGTTATTACTTGGGTACAACTGTTAAATTTTGTTTCCCTGTTTAAAACAAAATCAGTGCCAGAGATTCTCAGTAGAAACAGGTTAACTCTTTCTTTTCTTTATATAATTTTTCATGACAAAATATTGAATATATTTTCAACTTAATTTTGCCTCTACGTGGAATTGAGACTGCACATTATGAAGTGGTTCACTTTGATGGACTTTTCCAGCTAATCTCATCAAATCTCCAATTGATCTATGTAATGATTATCTAGTTCATCAGCCAGTATCTCAGAAGTTGAAAATTTTACTGTAAAGAGCTCAAAACTTTCTTTCAAATTATCTCAGTTCCTATTTGTAAAATACAGTCAACTCATACATTAGTCTGTTTTCACACCGCTATGAAGAAATAACCGAGACTAGACAATTTATTTCAAAAAGAGGTTTAATTGACTCATGTTTCTGCTTGGCTGGGGAGGCCTCAGGAAACTTACCATCATGGCAGAAGGCACATCTTCACAGGGCAGCAGAAGAGACAATGAATGTCAGCAACGGAAATGTCAAAGATTTATTAAACCATCCAATCTCATGAGAACTCACTCACTATCACAAGAACAGCATTGAGGAAACTACCCCCATGATTCAATTACCTCCCATCAGGTCCCTCCCATGACACATGTGGATTATGGGAATTACAATTCAAGTTGAGACTTGAATGGGGACACAGAGCCGAACCATATCAATTCATATTCCAACTTGCTATCAGTGGTTTTTCAACCTTTGTAATCTTCATTTCCTGTAACAGTGCCCTTGTGTTGGCAGGGGGAAAGAGCTTGGTCTGATGGATTTTCTCTATGTCTTTGTTGGATTTTGCTGCACATTGGATGGCCACAGCTGTGTACCTGTGATTCTACACTGATGCGTCTCAGTGTCTGGCTACTATTACAAAGTCCTTTTGGATGCCCTGTTAGCACTCACTGTGGAAATCCAAGTCTTGCCTTTATCCGTCAAATGTAATACATCTGTAGTTTGTGTTACTTTCCTGGGTGACCTCATGCCATTGACCACACAGTAATAGTCTTAGAACATGGACCCATCATGTGACACAATTGTCTCTTGCATATCAAGCGGAGGCTGTGAAAAAGTAGGTACTATTTTGTACTTATCAATACCTTTTGGCTTTTCTATTTTACAAACCCTCTGCTGGATGTTATGGGGACACAGAGTCCCAGCTTAAATGTTCCTATATATATATATATATTTTTTTTTTTTGCCTAAGTTTCTTTTATTTGTTTTACATCCGAAGTCCCTTCACCCTTCTATAGCATCCTGTTTTGCTTAACCTAATGAAAACATTGTCTTCATTATCTTCTTTGTTTTTCCCACCCTACATCTTCTTTGTACCAGTCAGAAATCAACTGACCCAGGCATAATGGTGATGGGGCTGCAAAGGAAAACTAAGCTTCAACTATTCCCAGTTATCTTTATTTATTCATTTATTTTTGTTATTATTAATATTTAGATCGAGTCTCACTCTATCACCCAGGCTGGAGTGCAGTGGCACAATATTGAATCACTGCAATTTACACCTCCCAGGCTCAAGCAATTCTCCTTTCTACTGCCTCAGCCTCCCTAGTAGCTGGGATTACAGGCATGCACCACCATGCCCTGCTATTTTTTTTTTTTTTCTAATTTTAGTAGAGACAAGTTTCCACCATGGTAGCCAGGCTGGTTTCAAACTGCTGACCTCAAGTAATCTGCCCACCTCGGCCTCCCAAAGTGCCAGGATTACAGGTGTGAGCTGCTGTGCCCAGCCAGGATCCTACTTGTTATTTTTTTAAACACTAATTAAAGTTCACTATTTTCTTCAATATTCTCCAAATAAACTTAAAATTTTTCATTTGAAAATACCTCGTCTCAAGATTATTAGGATCTAGAAAATTATTCTTCTTTTATTATTGCAGGAGATTACAATATCTACTTCCTGTATCTAATGGTGAGCCCTCAAAATGAAGCTAGAAACACATAAAGTAGCAGGAAAATATGACTCTCATAATATATTGTGTGTTCAGGGAATAATAGCTATTATCAAGGTATTTCTTTAATATTCTATTTGTTTCTCTTGGCTCATTCATCTTAATCAACCAGTTAAAATAATTGCCAGATAGTATCTGTGAAGGCTCAATAACTCAGGATTTATAAACCCAATTCAAGAATTTGTTTAAAATGGCAATTATGATTAGGAGATAAATAATGTATGATGTATTAATGACTAATAAGACTCAAATTAATAAATGTCAAATTAAAATGTCTTATGTGATTAAACTAATAATACGCAATCTTTAATCACTAAGGAATTGCCAAAACTCTTAGGCAAGGATACATATAAATATTATCCTCATTTAATTGTGATCATTTCCTTTTGTTGTTTCAAATATGATTTCAAGTATCATATTGATCCATATTAGTTAATTATTTGTATTCATACTTTCAATAACGATTGCATAGGATACTTATCTGTCCTCATTTATTCAGAGTTCCTGCTTTAAATACAATGTGCCCAATTCCTAAATTTCAGCAACAAAGTTATCCTTCTCTCTTTAGTCAATATGCAAGTCTGTGCATTGAATGCAGAATAAAAGGAGATCTGTTTATTTCAAATAAATCTGAAAACTGCTAATCGCAGCTGCTGGTTACGGGAAAGTTGTGTGTCAGCATTGCCCGCACATAATTGTGCAAACAAGCCCACAGTGACTAACTCACACTGGGCTGAATCTCTGTCTTTTTATGTCTCTCTGAGCTTTGCTGGATCAGAGAAGGGTTTTCTTTTTGTTAGCATTTTGAAGGTAAGTGGACCTCATGGAGCATAGCTATGATCTGTTCTTTCAAAGGAGCCCCAGTGCAGACTATCTTTTGGCCCTAACGTGATTGCAGTAAAGCAGTATTTAATACTCTCTCTGGCTTAAACAACTTGAGATAGCTTGTTTAGATTATTTACCCACATTCTGATTTTATGTACCTACCATAATTTGGCAAATATCTAACATTTGACATACTGTCATTTCTATACTTTTTTGTCTAAAGAAATATGTTTAAGTTTATATGGCAAAGACACTAAGGTAATGATCTAAGCCTTCAATTAATCAAAAGGATACTGCATACTAGATGAAAAAATCTTTTAAGATGATATGTTCTTCAATTTTTTTGATTGAAGTTAACTAGTTGTTGTGAATCTATATTTAAACTCAGAAACAATAGTTAACATTTTTTAGAGAAATGTGTGTAGTTACTATTTTCAGGAAAATCAATGAGTTTACATTTAAAACCAACACTTTTTATCTTTGTAATTCTAAAATTTTCTCTTTTCCTTCAATAATTTGAATGTTTTTCAGATGAAAGAAAATATGGTAAATTTACTGTATTTTATGGCAAATTTTAAATTAAATTTTAGTTATAATCTTTATGATACATTTACCGTATTTTCTTTTATCTGAATAAAAGGAGTGAAATATGCATATATGAGCAAATACAAATCAGTTTCTAAATGTAAATTTCAATATGCTGCATCTAAAATCATGTTCTAGGCAGTTTCTGGAACACCTAGATAAAGTAATAATTACCTTCAAAATAGTCTGTGCTAAACCAGTTTTCCACGAAGAAAAATAGCCCCAAATCACCATTTTTATATTGCCAATCATTATTAATTTATTGAAGGAAAATGGTCATCTAAAACAACTAAGAAGTATTCTAAAACTAGTGACAACTCAATATTAACACCATGTCTTAAAAATTACTAATTCTATGCATATTTGGCTATAAAATCAGCTTTAAAATGTGTTATTTACCTTCAAGAGTACATTTAAATTAATGGTGTAGTAGTGGAAATTCTTAAAGATGTGAAGAAAAAATTGTAGAAGTTCACCTGACAGTATGAGCATCCTTAAAGATCAATTTATGTCTAAAGGCTATTGCACAATTCATCAAATATGTATGCATCTATTCAACTAACTTGTACAGAATTTCTTATTATAGGATAACTTTAGTGAAACAACCAACCTGCATTGGCTTGTGAGCTACTATAGAAACTAATTCCAAATGTGTTACCTATTTTCTAAATTATTATCCTTTTCTATTACATGATAGTTTATTGGTTATCTCTTGATGATGAAAATTTTGCAGTGAAATGATTCTTGTATAAAGTGAAATGCTGAAGTATTTGGGGGAATGAAAGAATTCCTATAAATGAAAGATAAAAAATTTATTGTTACAGAGCATTTTGCCCATATTAACATCTGTTCCTATTTGGGGAGATTTTCCTCTTGGCAAGAAAGAACCATACCCATCCAATGGCTCTCAACCAGTCCCAGAATGTGTGGAGAACTGCTAAAAGAGCTCATCACTCTGCACCTGTTTCAGCTACAGGGGCCAAGTTTGTACTGCAGAGTGAAGGCAGAATAATACACACAAGGTGCAGCAATTCTGCAAAAAGGAATTGTATTATGTGTCCCTAGTCGTCAAAACTCATGAATAAGCTACGTAATGTGATAGTAAAAAGAAAACTCATCAGATTTATAATTGCAGTATTTAAATCTTGAAGACCACACAGAGCTGTTAAAATTTTCTAAAGTGAAATTTAAGTATAATTAATTATTAACCCAAGTTAAATACTTTATATACATATTATCTACTTACTCAAATAAGTCATGTTTGACATACTACCTCGCCCATCTTCCAGGGAATGCTGCTTGCTTTTAGTAACTTGGCAGCTTCTTGCAAGTCATTTCACTGTGAATAACTAATCAATCTTGTTTTTGTCCTTAATACTGAGGCCTGCTGGAATACAGGAAAGGGTCTGAGTCACAATGCGGGAGTCCAAAGAGACCCAATTTATTGATATGTCCATCCTAGAAAATTGCACATAAAAGAGGGATTGGGCTCAAATTCTAAGAGAATTAAGTTCTGCTTCAACAAAGTGCAGAGATTCCCACTATTCTATGGATTCTCAAAAGCTACCTCGGAGCCATAAAAAGGCTCCATGCCTAAAATACTCTCCCTTTCCCATACCACTATTCTCACACAGAGACTACAGGGAAACTGCTGTTTTATTCATCTTCTTGACACTATTTGTTATTTTGGGAAAATATACAGACTCAGTAGAAAACAACGTTTGTCCTATTTAAGAAGGAACTTGGCTCCCAAAACCCTACTTAATCTGTTAATGTTCTACAGTGATTAGCAAATAACATAATGCCTCTGATATTCACAAACCAGGACAATAAAATAAAAATAATAGAATAAATCATTAGGTTTTCTATATATTCCAAATAAGCTTAGACTATATTTCATTCTATTCATTCTGAAAATTGATGGAATCAAAGTAGCCAACAAGAATTCCAGAAACCAGGGTATTGCTCCTGCCAAGACTTACTCTTACTAAAATCAGCTGAAGACTAATCTCTACCACATTCCCATTACACAACCTTGAAACTTTGAAATGCATCAGGATTCGCTTTTGAGTCCATCTGTGTCTCAGAGATGCATTGATTCGATACTTACGATAGCTCATCTCTTGCCATTAGAAGTAATATTGGTGTTTGTGATGAGGTTCTAGGTACCACTAAAAATCATATATCATTAGGACATCATGGACGTTTTTTCGTGTGCATAGAGAATAAAAAGTATGTGAGGAGAGAAGCTTTATACCTATTGTACATCATTCTTATCATTGCCTTCCAGTACAAAGCACTATTTCTGGTGTGTGAACAGTTCCAATCTCTACTATTAGCTGTGTTGCTCTTGTTGTGATTAATATTGAATTTAATGAACTCGTGAACGCTAGCTAACACTTACATTTTTGAAATATAATAATAAATATTAAAAAATAATTGTATAAAAATAGGCTTAAATGTGTGAAGGAATATATTTTGACAAATCAAATATTTTCTACATTACTATTGGGTAGAACAATGGGTTTAACCAATATCTATAAAAATATTTCCAGAGAACATTCCATGTCCTTAGTCTCCAGCATTCATGAAGATCCTGTTAACATCATAATGTGAAGTTAGGGCCAATCTTGTCTAAATCTGAAATTAGCACTAATAATAATTATTTGCAACAGAACTGACATTCCCCAATAGATCATTATAATAGAGGGCTCCAGTGTGAATTATAGTGCATTTTTTAGTATCTTGGTATGTGCCTGGTAACATAAATATTAATATCTATTAGTATAGCATTCTTTTATTTAAAAAAATTTCATATGACTTACTGTATTTTATTTTTCAAAATTAGAGATGAAATAAGCACTGTAGAAATTTAAGTACCATTTAAATAAAATAGCAATACTTGAAAACCTAAGCCTCCTAATTATTAATTATCTAATCTACATCAGTATCCTTTAAATCAATATTTTTTAAAGGGTATTATAATTCCTCTATTGGTTTCAGAATAATTCCTATTACTATGCAATGATAACAAATTGTTATAACTGTGGAAGTATATAAATGATCAACAGCAAAAAACATGGCTTATCTTACATAACACTATAAACATGCTCAAAATCCCTATTTCAATTTTATGTGTGCCAATGACAGCGCATATTTATTCAACACCATCTTCATTTACAGGTGGGTAGGTGAGAACACTCTCTCCTTCCATATGCCTCCTTTATTTTCTGCAGCGTTCACCTTATGGTCTGCTGCCTTTGAAAACACATGGCTGTTCTGGGACACTCTCACAGTTCACTTCCCTTTCACCTATAAATTGTAATTTCTGAAAGAGTCCACAGTTGGACTGTTCTTCCATAGCCTGTTACTGCATATTACGATTCTTTACTGTTAAACCGATTCATAAAATCTTGGGATATTGCTAAGGTCAAAAATTCATTTAAAAATGTCTTATCTACATAATTTGGAAGCATCATTTTGCCAGTTGGATAGATTTATTTATTTAAATGCACAATTCAAAACGTTTTATTTTTGCTGAGGCATTTTCAAATCAGATATCTGCAACAAAAGTTGTCCGCATTTATTGATATGTTGTCTTTTGTACAATGGTAGTTTTATAGAGTTAAGTTCTTAAGTCAAATTAAGGTTCTAATTTTCTTGAAAATACATCACAAGGATATTTTGTTATTTTATTGTGCAACTGAAGCAAGCATCCCCATATGAATCACTATTGTGTCTACATGTGTGACACATTTTATGATGGGTTCATGAGGAGACAGTATAAACACTTTTGTTGGAGGAAGAAGAAGGAAAATGGCTAGTACATGAGATTAAAATGGAATTGAGTAGGAAGCATGTCCTCTGTCAGAAATTGTACACATGAGAACTGAGTGCATCTTATAGTTTTAAGGGATGTTCCATTTACCTGAGAAAACTGATAACACAAGATTTCAAGCAGCATTCTCACAGGCAAAAGAGACTTCTTCCACACTTGTGCCAGAAAGCACCAAGTGGACTGGCAGAGAAACGAAGAAAATCATGAAAGTTATTCATAAACTCTAATAATCATTACCAAATGCATTGTTACACAATGGCAGAAAATGGGGCACAAGTGGTTAAGCAGTCTAAGCACAAGGAAACCAAGGTCGGAAAGTCAGGTAGCTGAGTAGATGTGAAAGGAAACTGTTGGAACTCTACAAGTAACTGATGAAGGCTTAATCAATGAAAGGGACACTGTAATAAGCTTACCCTGCACAAATATAAGTCCATGAAAATATAACTTAAGATATAAATGTCATGTATTCCATTATTTTGCATCATTGTCAAACACTGTATTTTCTACCTCATGTAATATTTGAAAATCTTAAAACACGTGGGCATGGAAATTAAACTGATTTCACCATTCAGTTTCACCACCTATTAGTGTACACACTAGAAGCAAATTATTCTTTTTCGGCCAGCTACGGTGGGTCACACCTGTAATCCAAGCACCCTGGGAGGCTAAGGTAGGTGGATCACAAGGTCAAGAGATCATTTTGGCCAACATGGTGAAACCCCATCTCTACTAAAAATATAAAAATTAGCTGGGCGTGTTGGTGCACACCTATAGTCCCAGCTACTCCGGGGTCTGAGGCAAGAGAATCACTTGAACCTGGGAGATGGATGTTGCAGAGAGCTGAGCTCGCACCACTGCACTCCAACCTGGCGACAGAGTCAGACTCCACCTCAAAAGAAAAAGTTCTTTTTTTTCTCTAACAGCTTATTTATGAAATATTAAAAATCATAGTGTATGTTTATAACAATGAGGATGCATTTATTCTCATTGCACATAAAAATACGCAAATTGATTCTTTGAAATGATAATGTAACTTTCAATATCCAAGGGTGGGAATAAATTCAGACACATTTTGATCCAAAATTTCACAAGGCAGTCATAGCTCTACATGTATTTCAATTCTTTGTTCCTCTGAGTTTTGTCTTCAATTTGAGCCTGGTATTCTTTTTGGTCCAAGAATGTCTTATCTGAATGTTAACCCTTAAAATAGAATATAATTCCGTCCATAGAACAATTTGTATTTTTACAGAAAATGATCTAAATTTTCTATTAGACTAGTTATGGCCAAATGCCTACCCCCGTCTAATGCGTTGTTGTCAGGTAGTTCACGATTCCGATTAAGAGAGCCTAGATAAAGGATTTCACCAAGGAGTGAAGCAGCTTCCCTGGAAAAAGGTGTTTCATTCCTTAAGTAGGTAGGGAGTTACACCAAGAAGACAAAGAAGTAAACTTGCTAAGAGAACAACCATCAGTTATCCTCCTTACCATCTCATTAGGTTCTTGTGAAAATTAAATGAGATGGCACACATGGAGTCACATACAAAATGAATGATTCCTCTGAAGTATTTATGCTATAGTTAATGATGATGACAACATTTTTATATGTGAATTTAGATATAGAAATATTAATATATTTTAAGCAACTAAACCT